AACTGCAGAACTGCAGTCAGCTGAAGTAGCCTGCAGTGCTGCGTTTAACCACTGCGCCACCTCGGCTCATCTAGGCGACTGGAGGCTAAAACATATGAAGAATGGTTGCAGGAACTGAGTACATCTAGTTTAATGAAAGGAAGGACTAGGGGTGACATGATAGCAGTGTTCCAATATCTCAGGGGTTGCCACAAAGAAGAGGGAGTCAAATTATTCTCCAAAGCAACCGAGGGTAGAACGAGCAGCAACGGGTGGAAACTAATCAAGGAGAGCAGCAACCTAGAACTAAGGAGAAATTTCCTGACAGTTAGAACAGTTAATCAGTGGAACAATTTGCCTCCAGAAGTTGTAAATATTCTAACACTGGATGTTTTTAAGAAGAGATTAGATAACCATTTCTCTGAAGTGGTGTAGGGTTTCCTGCCTAAGCAGGGGCTTGGACTAGAAGACCTCTAAGGTCCCATCCAACTCTGTTATTCTAATTCTATTCATTTCTATTCATCTATTCTATATTAAATACAAAGCATTCAAAATCTAACTTCACTACAGTACTTTTGCAGATAATTATTTTGACAAGATCTGGCAAAATATGGTAATTTGCAAATATGAAGATACTTTCACTGAATGAGTCCTGCAGTCATACAGAAAAAAATCTTTTCATGATTAAAGAAGATTAATGACCATACTCACAAAACCAACTACCAGTATTTAAAATATTTAGCTGTGAATAATGTGAAATACTGCTTCTCTAGTATTGAGCATATGAATTCTTTTAAGCAATCCTTAGAGTTCATTTAAATCCAAGTATTTTCTAATTTCTAAGTAGCCCTTTTAAAACTCTGAATAGCTTGTACTAGGTTCTGGAAAATACCATGCAATGCTAACTGTTGTGGGCTCATAAAATTTTCTCTTGGTTTCTTTACTTCTGGGATTAATTGGATAATTACTACAGAGAATTTTTAATTATGACAGTATAATTGTTTAAATTCTTCCTTTGCACTTGCTTGAATACCTTTCAAATATTAACCTGTCTTCCCTTTATATTTTAATAGTTTTTGTAAAGGCCCAATATGCAACATTACTGTTTCTCATTTATCTGATGTTTTAAATTGCTTTTACTCTTTATTTTGTTTTTTTCAAATTGTACTTATTTATTTGTTTGGGGACTATAAACTACCTTGGGATTTTTTGCACAATAAATTGCAATTAAAATATGGGTAGGACCTACTACTCTTAAATTCTGTTATTATATGAAATTATTTTACTGCAAATAAGTTCAAAATAACCAAAAATGTTCCTTGCTTGCCCATGAATTTGAAAATACTAATTTAAATGTGTTACATGTAGTTGGGCAAATGATACTTCCTTATAGGGAAATAAAAGGAACAACTGGTCTTTCAGTATACACTCATGATGAGTCATTCAAGTCAAACGCATGAAAAAGAACGAATCACACAACTCTATTTAATTTTTGTCCACATTTTCAAAATCCCTTTCCAATCTTAATTTACAGGATTTACAATCCTGGTTACATAATTTTTTTGTAGCCCGCAATATACACACCTAATAAATATGCTAATTGTTTAAATTATCTGAATTCTGCATTGTTAACCGAGTACAGATTTAGGATTCAACTTTCAAAATCTTGAGCTTGATTCTAGATCTTAGTTACAACTCACAAAATATTTTATAGGAAGTTCAAGTCTATACAAGCTCAAATAAAGAGTCAAGAATGAACCCAAACATTTAATAAATGCTAGCACACTATACCTTGCTAAATCATTTCAATGTGATACCTATTGTGATCTATTGGTATCCTCCAGATTTTGGATAGAGAAATTTCTCATCACTGATAATTTTCAATTCCTTTTTCAGAAAGAGATCTGGCATCTAATGTATTTATATTTAAAAATAACTTTTGCCTACTAGTCTAAAAGCAATTTCTTTTAAATTTCATATATTTATTAGTTATAAATATAATAAATCATCGATGTAATTTAATATCTATCAAGAATTATGTTCATAATATATAGTACTTTATACTTTATAATATTATTCTTTCTAGTTAGTCTTATAAAATAAAGGATACAATAAAAAATTAATAATTACATGACTGAATTATTTTCAAAGTAGAATATACTACATATTAATGCAAAATAATTCAACATTCTACAAGATAATACTAGCATACAAGCATTAAATTACACTTGTATTTATTGTCTGCATTCTTTTCCAAATATGGCATGCTCCCTGCACTTTGCAAAAAACAGGAGAGCAGATGCAGGCAGGATCTGAACTGGGATTTTCTAGAATTGAAAGGCAATAAATCTGACAAAATCAAAAGCAAAAAATGGAATATTTAATTGATAACAAGCTAATATGCAATCACTGATATTTACTGAACAGAAAATCTAAACATGAGAACATTATGTAATTCACTGCAATCTGTAATAGGCAAGTGTTTTAAACTAGATTAATTCCATATTGCAAACATTAAATTAAAAAAAATATAACCTAAAGCAAAAAAAGTCAAACTTTTCTTTATTCAAATCCTCTAAAGCTCACATTTTAAAATATATTTTATTTGGAAGCCCTTTAAGATTAGGTGATAAATAGCTAAATATTTTGTCTATCATAATTCTTCAAATATGTCTCCCTGACATAAAATAAATGTCCAATGTCTAGGTCTGAAGATAAAATACATATTTCAAAACACAAATATTGTTATAAGTCTGACCTTTCAGTATCTTTGTTTCATCCGTTCTGGAAATATGTCCTTCGTCCATGAGCTTGTCTGCTGAACAAAATAGGGATTACTATCGAAGCTCAAATTCTTTGTACGTGTCTCTAATCTACATTCCATGCCCAAATTTAAACAGGGCAGTATTACCTCATACTTCCCTGCACAAGAATTAACAGACTTTTCCAGTTGAATAAAAGTATTATGTACTCCTTAGTAAAATATTAATACACTGAACTGAAGCACAAAAATATAGATTCATTATATTGGAAGAAGACATCTAGGTCACCAAATACTAGTTCAAAGAATTAAAGAATCTCTAACAGACATCCGTCAGAATCCTGCAACATATGATAGAGGATTACTAGCCCAACATTCTGTTTCCATCATACCACACCATTGTAAAAACCCATGAAAAACTCTTAAGAATGAAACATAAAAGGACTTTTTCATTTGTAGAATTCTGTATCTGGCTTAAAAGCATACTGTCTGTAATAATAAAAGTAATTTAGAGCTATCAGGACTAATAGACACTGATAGCATTCTAATCCATGATTCATTTGCTGATATTTTATCAAAAGGGATTAAAGCAACACATCTAAACTTTTAAATAAATTTCAGAACAGAAGAGTTTAAGCTATTGTATCAAAGATAACTCATACAGAAAGAAAATACTTGTTAATAATTTTTCCACAATTTCTATGGAGTCCCCCATCCCCATGAAATGGTCATGCATGTACACTAATAAATTTCACCTATGGAATTTTATCTAAAGATTTTAGATGTTAGTACAAAAATATGGTATTATTCAACATGTGAACATATGTCACATTTCTTTATTAGAAGTACTAATTAACTGATAGTCGATTCTTGACACTAAGAATACAGAAGTAAAGATTAAATAATTTTGAAGAGGCAGAGATGTAAGCGGTAGTACAATTCCCACTTACAACTCCTTCATAGACAGATATCTATTTTTATTTGTCACTGATATTATATTCCTATAAAGTTGGAATATATAGCATTCCAGCTACTGTCTGATATATAGCTGAAGGGAGAGATATATTTATGTCTTTTTCTAATTATCTGTAATAATGATTCCTAAAAAGGCTTTTAGATGGAACCTTTAAGACAATTAGGGAAAAATGTCAGAGTTTGGTAGCTTTCTTTTTTATTTACACAATCAGGAAAGCACTATACAAAAGTAGACAGAAAAGTCAGATCAAGAGACAAAAGAAGTATCAGTGGAGAGAAAAAAGACAGAAAGTAAATCAGAAAAGAACAAGACATAAACCATTTGTAGCATAAGACAATGGGGCAGGGAAAAAATACACATTTTGTAGTATGTTGAAGGCACAACAAGCAAAAAAAGAAAATGATAAAGTGTGAGAAGTTCTGGAAATAATTCTGAAGACTTACAAATACTAATGTCCATTGTCAAATTAAATAAAATCAGACCACCAAATAACTGAAATATAGCAAAATTTCCAAATAAATTTGCTCAGCAAAACAAATTCATTTATTCAAGTCAAAGTCTATTGAAGATTAATTAAATATAATTGTAAGATGCAAATGCAGGAAAGATTTTAAATTTTAGTAGGCATTAAGCAATGGATGGCATAAATGCCAATGCTTTTGCACAAAACTTCTTTTAAACCGTTCTGTAAGTTTTCTTCTCCCTTGCCTTCTGAAATGTGTGGTCCTGTTTATTTTACAGTGACAACTGCAATGGTCTGTGGAGCATATGTAGCAGGACTGAGGGATGGATTCAATGAATACAGATGACCACTCAAAGAGCCACAATTACAAAAAAGATAGTTCAAAGAATTAAATATGAATAAGGGGGAAAAAAGAATAAAACCACAGAAATCAGTAATCAGCCCAGAATGGACTGTGAATAATGTAATTGGTGGTATTCAGCTCTAGAACTTTTTCAGCAATGATCTATACAAACGTAGATGTGATGCTCAAACTCATATGTGATGTGCAAAGACTATGAAAATACACTCAAACTAAACAAAACTATTTCAAGGTTTATGATAAACAGACTAAGAAAGAACAGGGTATATTTCAATGTGTACGTCTAGTTACTGAAATAAACGGTGGTCAAAATTGATACTTATGCTCAATCATAAAGAATTTGAATATATTACTTTATGACTCGGTACAACAATTCTTCCAATGACAATCCTAAGGGGTTTTCTTTTAAATTTTGGAACAGTGTATTACCATTTCAAGAATAGGTCATCAAGGACCTCCGATATATAGCACAACCACGAGTAGTGAATGTGTAATATGCCTTTCCTGAATATAAGTGCAACTATGATTGAAAAATGTCCCCATATGCTTCTCAACTGTGTTCTTAGATGTATAAAATTATGTCATTCTTACTACAGCAAAGGTCCATGGTTCCTAAAGATTAGAAACTGGTTTTAATTTTTTTTAAAAAATGTATCATCACAGAGACCTAAATTTCTGGGAGGCAAAAAGAGAAACCACAATTACTAGTTTAACTAGCTAGCTAATTTTTTCTTCCACAAATTTATTTTAATTGTATTTTTATAATTATTTATTTGTAATCACATTATCTCATTATCTGGCAGCATCTAGAAATTAGGGCTATGCAGAATATTCCAAAGAGGTACATTGTAGGGTACACCAGTATAATCCCAAACTGTGAAATCAGTCAAGTCTTTTGGAAAGCCCAAATAATTGCTTTGAAGGGGTCCCCCATTCTATTGGAGCTCTTAGCCTTTAAAGCTGGGGTGCTTAAATCTGGCATGTGGGGCCAGCATGGAAATATCAAAGGACTGACCCACAGTGCCTCTGCCAGCCGCAGGGAGGGGTGTTTTCGGCTTCCACAGCAAGCCCTCCCCTGCGCCTCATTTTGGCCAGCAAAGTGCTGCATCCATCCAGTGTCTACCTCTGCCCCATTAAAATACTGATCAGACCTCGAAAAAATGGGGTTTGACACCCCTGCTTTAAAGGGAAACCACTGTGCATACACATACAGGTAGCCCTAGATTTATATTTCACTTACGATTTGAATTTACGCCCCTGAAAGAAAATGACATGACCATTTTTCACACTTACTGCCATTGCAGCATTCCCATGGTCACATGATCAAAATTTGGATGGTTTGCAACTGGTTCATATTTATGATGGTTATAGTTTCCTGAGGTCATGTGATCACCTTTTCCAACCTTCTGACAAGAAAGTCAATGGGGAAGCCAGATTCACTGGGGCAACGTTCACTTAACAACTGTCTCAATTAGCAATAGAAATTTCAGGCTCAATTATGGTTGTAAGTCAAGGACTACCTGTATTGTACACCTGCAAGCAGTTAGGATAGCTGCTAGATCTTTTAGAACACTTGTGCTCTGCTATAATATTTTGAAAGGAGATGCTTTGTTTGTGCTAACACACTTTATGAAACACCTCTTTTAAATATTTTATCTGATTCCAATGGAATCTTTTCAGGATTCTGTAATGGTACAGGATCTTGCTTCTCTAAATCTACCACTAAAATCTCTTCAAATGACTGGAAGTGTTCCATAATTTTGCTATTGTACATGCCTCCACTTCTAAGAAATGAACATTTCGTATCTTTAGTTTGCACTAATGCATTTGCTTACTTAGGTAAATTCTTAGGACTATAAGGAAAGTATTATAAATTGTAATCTTCTCTATTTTCCTTCATCTGGTTTTGCTTAATGTAGAGTAACTAAAATATATTAAATGTATATAATAATTATAATTACATATGTAGGTCAATAACAGACACTTTTTAAATTCTGTTCTCTTTACACTTTGGTTCATGTAATATTAAAACATATCATCAAATTATCATCAACAATAATTGCTTGATGTAAGAGGTTTCACTATTGCTAATCTATAATGATAGGTTTGATAAATACCCCTTTCCCTCCCCATTTTTTTGCTTCTAATTATTTCCCATACATATGATGAATCTGGCTTGCAACTTTTTTTCTTGTTCTTTAATGCTAACTACTGGTTCTGACAGTTATTCCTATGCCAAAAAACATCAAGGGATGTAATCCTTCTAAGTTTAGAAAAGTGAACCGTGAGTTAAATATATAAATTAGGGCCATGTATTTCCAAAGAATAATCAGCTTGTGCTGAATGTTTTGGTGTATGTAGTAGCTATCCTAAATATACAAGTGGTATTAAGATTTTAATTAATAGAAATTATAAGCAGATTCAACAGCCAGTTTAATATAGTGGTTAATGCATCAGGCTAGAAACCTGGAGATCATGAGTTCTAGTCTTGCCTTGGGTACAAAGGCAAATAGAGGACTTTAAGCTACTTTCTCTCAGCTCTTGGAAGGAGGTAAACCATTTCTGAAAAACCTTGCCAAGAAAATTGCAGGGATTTCTCCAGGCAGTCTCCAATAATCAGACAGGATTAGACAGAAGAAATAAAAAGATTCAATATTAGATTGTGGGATTTAGCATTACTGAATGTATAATGTCAAACTAAAAGTTTGCCAGAACAAATCCCTAATGTTTTCAAGATTTGTTTATCAAATAATGATTTATTCCTTCTTTAATCTATATCAGTATTATTGTGTGAAAGTTGGGAAAAAATAAAGTTCTCACATGCCTTACTGCCTATCACAAGTATTCAATAGTTATTAATATTGCATATTATAGTTGCTCACCTTTAAACGTGTGAAATAATATATTCTGTTAATTAAAGGGACCTGAGGTTTTTAAACCGATGTAATGAATTTTTTTTAAAAGTTTGTCATTGCTTGTTTCCTCAACAAAATTATCACTATTCCCATTCTATATAGGACAGGCTTTTTAGTGAATGTGATGAATGCTGTGTACTCACTCTGACACTCTATGAACTGATGAATAAAAGTGCAGTCCCCTCCACTCTTTGAAAGAAAGTGCTCTAGTAAAGAAAGAAAAACCTTTAGGTTATATCTCCATCTTTGAGGGCTCAAATCAAAACATACAAGCCTCAGATATGAAGTAAGGGGAAAGGGATGCCTCAAAAAGGCACAAACAAAAATACTTCTGCAGTAAGTACAAGTGATATACCATGTATCAAATAAATGAAAGATCTGCATTATGTTTATATATGATCAGAATGCATAAGCTTTATAATTTAACAAATGAATTTAATAAATGTCTGTACTGAATATTTGTTCAATGAAACAAATGTCTGTACTGGACAACTGTTCAATGAAATCAGAAAAACAGGGCACCTATTTCTGCAATAAATCTTAATTTGTTTATTTTTCTCCTCTTTTGAAGCTTTATTATAAGCATGGTCATTTCACATACTGACAGCAAAAATTAGTAGAGATAAAGAAAATAAACAGAATTTTTAAAAATCCTCAAATATTTTAAAAAAATCTTTAAAAGGGAACTATAAACTTACTTTACCCTTCCTTTCCATTATCCCTAGCCACTAATCATTACATAAGTATTTGTTCTTTTCTTGAAGAATTAAAGCTGGTTGTTTATATTTTTTAAATGATTTCATCTATTATTTTTAATTCATTCCTTAACACTGTTTTTTTCCTTAAAATTATATTTCAAATGTCTGAACTTTCTTTGCTATGTGATGTATTTTAGGTAACAGAGATATTCCTTCTTGAATTTGATTACGAATATATGCTGTACCATTATTGCATAAACTCCAATGTTGCTCTCCCATTCTTATATTGTAAACAGAGTTTCACTTTTCTAATGTTGTGTCAAATTGGATGCTATTTTTGTTAGCATGCGATTTAGCAGATTGCTCTCTGAAATTATACCTAATAAAAGATTTGTGGCTTCATTTCAAATTTTATTTTAAAAAAATTCTGAACATTTCAGTGTATTCTCTTCTAATACTTCTGGTTGTGGCTTTTTTTTTTTTTAACATAACCACCACATGTAGTAGAAGAATGTTCTTTTTTTATTGAGGTATGTCCAGCATTTATTATTGTATGGTTTACTCATCTTGTTTATCATCTCCAACTGTGGGTTGGAGTACATCTTATTGTTTTTTTCCCATAACCCTTCCCATTGTTCTGCTGTAATTGCATCTTTGAAGTTTTGCATCCATTTAATCATAGAGCTTCTAATTTGTTCTGTGTCTGCATCATATTTCAATAACAATTTATAGATGTCTCAACAGATTATCTTATTTCTGTAAAAGCATTTTAACGTTAACTTTCTTAAAGTAACTTCCTTCTTTCTTGAGATGACTTTTTATTGTTCTATTAACTTCTAAATAAATTCTAAACTTCTTTAACCAAGTTTTATTAATCAATTCCTGCCATGTTTTTAAACTGTTTTCTGAATTTGGTTATGTGTTCTGGCATATATGATTGTTATTGTAATTATCCTTGAAATAAAAAGCATTTGATAGTGATATTAATGGTAAAATTGCCAGATTTATCCTTATTCTCAGAAGGTTCCAAATTTTTAGCAGATTTTCCCTGACAATAAGTTCCTTCCACTTTTTTTGTCTTTTTTTCTTTGTACTGTAAATATGTCTGTGAAATTCTTTTCTCCTCCTAAAATTGGTATTGTGCTATTAGGAGATTGTATCCATTATCTTAACAATGTAAAATGTTCATGGTCAAGGAATATCTGTAAAAAATTTTCTTCATTATATTATTGCAATATACTTTCTTGGAGCAACAATAAATCATTCATTCTCCATTTGAAAGGCATTTTTTCTCCTTGAAACCATGCATTGAATTTGGTTTGATCCACATATCATTGCGTGGAACAAACTTCACTTCCTCAACTGTGCAAAAACTTTGAGGTTTGGTATTTGAACCTTTTGTTATCCCTGATTAAGTAATGTCTAAATCATTTTCATAATACTGTAGTTGATATTAATTAATCAGATTTCCTTTTATAAGTGAAATTAGTCATGGCTGATACTTAAGAAGTTTTTGATACTTCAGATTGATCTTTAATATAATTAACTAATGTTTTTATTGGTCATATCTCTAATCTATTGCTTTTTTAAAATTGTGAAATACATTTGGTCAAAAAGAGGGTGACTTTTCAAGTACTAACGTACCACTGACTATTCTCTCTTATTCAAATCCAAATATTTGTCCTTTTGATCCATTTGATACCTATGTAATTATATTACACATTTTAACAGTCTATCCATAATAAATATGATCAGTCACATATTTTTCATTTACAGAAATAAATCTTTACATTTCGGTTTGTCTCACTTTCTCAAGTTTCTAATTTCAACTGTAAATCATCGTATTCTGCATACATTACAGTTAGTTGTGTTCATTGATATATGTTCATGTAAACAGCCAGTTTGGTATAGTGGTTAAAGGCACTAGAAAGTAACAAGGGAACTGTGAATTCTAGTTCTGTCTTAATCTGTAAACAGTTGAATGCCTTTGAATAGTCACTTTCTCTCAGCCCTAGGAAGAAGACAATGGTAAACTACTTCTGAAATATTGCCAAGAAAATGCAGAAACTTGTTGATGTACTGACTCTGTCAAATTACATTATACATGTTTGTGGTTTCCCCGCAAATATTGGGTTTTTTTGCAAATAATTACTATAATGCAGAGTCCTAATTCTGAGGCTAAAGGCTGGCCTCTTTTCTTGTAATAGAAACAAGTAGTGAGGTTTTAGTAAAATAAATACAAGGCCTAATAACAGGTGGTGATGAGGAAGGGATAGAACAGAGAATAGAGTGCCTGGAGCAGAATCCAAAGGAAATCCTCTAAGATTACCATTTTAGAGGATTGTTAATCCTTGTTAATATTATATAACAGAACCAAAATACTGGGTGTTCTGAGGCAACAACAGACCACCATGTGGTCACCTCTTTAAAAAAAAATAAGGCTGAAAGTTTGGCATCTGTAACTCCTACAGAAGAAGATGGGATTGGCAGTTGGGGCGGTGTTCTAAAAATAATTAAGATCCCATTTGTGTTGTTACTTGTAACCTCTATAAGATCCAAGGTGATGAAAATGAAAAGAATGTGATAAACATCAAAAGATTTTAATAAGAAAACTGGGCATATCAGAGGAAGAGAAAAAAAATTAAGGCAGAAGATATTTTGATGAATCTCACAGCGAGAACGGCAACATGCAAGTAAAGTACTGAGAAAAGTTATGAACAATGAAAGGGCAGTAGATAAAGGGATGCCAACAGAATATAACCAAAAGAATAGCAGAAATTGCCTAATAATACTTAATGAGAAAGTGAATAATAATTTGTCAAGTTTTGAATGGAGTAAAATAGCCTGAGAAATGTCAGTTGTGAAAGTTCCTTTTACTCAGCAAAACAAGTAAATATATCTGTTAATAAACAAGTAAGGATGTAAAAATATTTCAGTATGAAAGCAAATAGTAAATCCTACTGATTTTAAATATATTTTACTTTAGAAATTAAATGGACTGTCAAACTGCAAAAATGTTCCAAAATTGTATTTGTGTGCTGTTATTGGTTATCTCCATAGTTAATCTCTTACATTTTTGCTTTTTGAACAATCAAGAAACTATGTAAAATAACTATCAAAAAGAAAACTAATGAATAGAAGCCACTATTATTTAATTTTTAGTAACATTTATCTCGCTTTGGTTGGTCTGGACATAAAAGGATCCAGATTTCAGACAGTAATTGACAGAATTGTACTCTTCCATTTTTATTATTATATTTATTTAGCAGTTTTCATGCATGTTCCAATTATTTTTCCCTAAATAAGCATAATATTATACATTTTGTTTGTATTGTCTTATTTATTCCCTTCCCTGTTTATTGTGAGCCGCCCGGAGTCCTTCGGGAATGGGCGGCATACAAAACCAATAAACCTAACCAATAAACCTAAACCTACATTTATAACAAATTACCAATTCTGGCTAAAATGGACTCAGATAAGACTTTTAAACTGAATGCAGATATTGTTTTAATCAAGCCTTTTAATAAGTAAGTAGAAGGAAGAGAGAAGATTCATTTTAGCTAAGATTAAAAGTTATACAATACCAAAAACCTAGAGGAAGTGTAAAGAACCTCAATTCTGCCACCTTCGTTCTTTTATAACCATATTATCACCACAGCTGACTATAAATAAGTCTTGCTGCATTAGGCAAGCATGGCAATAATGTTATGCAGAAAGCCCAGATATCTGAAAGCTTCAATGGAATTTGGTAAGAGTAATTTTTTTAGCAGAAATTAAAAAAACAAATGGTAAATAAAACATCTACCTTAATCCAGAAAAACAATATAGATAGAAGTTAAAAAGCTAAAAAAAGGTCTGATGATTTTATTAACAATATAACAATATACATTCCCCACAATTGCAATGCAGTATTAACAGCCAAATAAAAGATAATATCTCATACACTTGTGTCTAGGAGGAAGTCCAAGTGAATTCAGCAAGATTTATTTCTAAATATGACAACCTCACTATAACACACTCTTTAATATAGATACAAAATTCTGCTATTAAATTTTTTCTCTGCTGACATTTGAAAGATGCAGGATTAGTCCCAAAGCAGAATATTTGGACAGTATTTTAAAATATTTTAAAATATAATAAAAATGTATAATAAACATTATAATAAAAATGTTAAAGATTAATATTTTAATCTTTAAAATATAGTATTTGCATTTATTTTTATATAGAACAAAGCTGGTTCATAATCTAAAATGCACAGACCACTGTAAGAAGAAAACCATTGAGAATACCCTACCTTTTTCTGTGCTTCCATTAATTTTAGGAACGAAGTCATCAACTTGTATGCCTAGAATTAACAAATTGTATTAATTCTAATTATTCAGAATATATTTACTAGCACACTTATGCCTTTCTACATGGATGAATTAGTGTTGAAAATTTAGCTTTCTTCTGGTGGTTCTTAAACTGTTTGACTTAATTGCCACTTTTCCTGATCTCAAATAATGTCATTATCCCCACAAAAAAAACACAGTTGCGGCCAAGGTTCCTAGCTGTATCCAAAAATATTCTATTCTTATTATATATTTTATATTTTGTGACGTTTCATGAGCTAACACTAAGAAAAATTAGAAGCAGAGCCCTCGAATGTTTATTTATCAATGCTCCAGAAATGAAGCTATAAAGAACCGGAATATTTTTAAAATATTCCCACTGCTCAAGAGTTATAACACTATGTTATTATTCTATAAAAATTGATTAAGCAAAGTACTTTAAGGTCATACCTACCTAAGCTGTTGTGTTCTTTAAGAGCTTTCTCCTGAAGATGTTCTAACCGGACTGAAAACAGAATTCCAAAATATATATATATTTCACAATTAAAGAAAAAAAATGTAACATCAATATATTAGGACTACTGGACTTACCTTGTAAAGCAGTTAGCCGTTCATTGGTAAAGTCATTATCTGCTTGCAAAGCCTCTATTTTTGCTTGAAGTTCTTGCTCTCTTTCTTCCATCTCTTCAATTTTATGTTGCAATTCCTTTTTTTCAGCCTGTCCTTTTTGCTGGATTTCTTCTTGTCTACCTTCAGCTACCTATTCAAAGCAAGAGAAAGCAATCACCTCTTAATAAAAGCTTTTATGAAACCACTTAATACTGTTTTCATTGTCTAGTAGCTGAAAACAAAATTGAAATGGTGGTTCTATAAAGTATATACTGCTATACCATGAAACAATACCCTTCTTGCTTTATTTTAATCAAACATAAATACCCTCTTTCATGTCTCAGGAGACTTCCATGTGACACTGTCAATATTCCCCCAATCTCTAAATAATTTTGAAACCAATTGTGCATCCTCATCATTGCAGTGTCAGAACATAGGCAAGTTACACAATAAGTCAATGTGTCTGGCCTCTTTCCAGATGACCAATAGGAAAGTATTTAAAAAATCATTCATTTAATTCCCTCATCCAAGCTTCTAATTCCAAGAGCAAACACAAATATACAACAAAAGAAAAACAAAGAAAAGAATCATCTTCTATATACCAGTTTTTCAGAGTATAAGACACACCAGAGTATAAGATGCACCTTAGTTTTTGGGGAGGAAAATAGGGGGGGGGGGAATATTCTGCCTACCAGATATTCATCTGGCTAGTCCTTAGCCTGGTCAGCTTCAGCACACAGCACATTAGTTCGCTCGCTGGTTTTGAGGTTGGGGATGATGGGGGCTGTGCTTCTAAGCAGCAATTAGAAAAGCAGGCAAAGCACAGAAGACCACTTAGCTCGTATTTGGGTTGAAAAACAGTTCCAAAAGCACAGTTGATCCTCCAGTGACTAAAGCAGACAAAGCGGGGAAGGAGCAAGAGAAGGCAGCAGCTGTTTCAGATAGCCATTTTGGGCACCGTGCGTCGAACATTTGGAGGCTGAAAACGCAATGTGCGGAGCTCAAAAACACAAGCCATTGTTGGTGGCAATCTCTGCAGCCAGGAAGAGGATGCACGGAGGCCGAAATATAGGGGCCAATGGGTGAGCGGGGCTATATTCGGAGTATAAGATACACCCAAATTTTCAGTCTCTTTTAGGAGGGGGAAAAGTGTATCTTATACGCCAAAAAATATGGTATATAGAAATAGGTGGGTGGGTGGGTGTGCGCGCGCACGCGCATTCCATCATAACTCTGGAACGCCTCAAGCAATTTCAACAAAACTTGGTACACAGATAACTTACTCTCTGGAAAAAAATACCTAACACTTCTCAGGGTGATAAGATACAACATGTTGTGCCTTAAAATGTCTTTTACTGTATTGCCGTAAAATGGCTTCTACTGTATAGTGCAGTGGAGTTGCCATGGTAATGGCTTCACAGTACTCCATAAAGGGGCTTCCTCAGGTAAGGGGGGAAATCCAACATTAGAAATTATGTTTCATCTGGATATTTTCCTCCTATAAATAAATACCCGGGCAACACCTGGTTATCAGCTAGTATACTATAAAAAGAATATAAATAATTTGCTAGCCATATTCTCATAATACATTCTGTGTTATAAAAAAAATCTGAGCAATTGATAGAAAAGTTAGCTGCAGAGTTGATAAGGAACTTAAGCTTCATCTGTTGCATTTAAATACCCCATGTTAATTATGTAGTTATCAGCATAGCAGTTTTATAAGGAAACTCCATTGCCACATGGATTTTAACTATAGCTGCAAATTACATGAGTAGCTGCAGACATATGAAAGATGTAGTGTTAGCAGACAGACATCAGAAACAGAATGGACATGGGGAGGAAGACACTATCTAGAAATGACAAGAATCCTCTATTATACTGCATACAAAAAAATGAGGTATCCAGGACACATTCAGTCCAAAAGAAACAAGTTTTGCATAATGTTGCATTGTCAAAGAAATGCGTAAGTGGAACTTTTTCTCCTTTTATTTGGGTTATTGTGTGCACAATAATAGTTGCCAGACTTGCAGTCAATAAATTAAGGTGCAACTGCATTTTAAAATGGCAGATGGCATGTATTTGTCTGCTTATAGAAAATGGAAATAATATTTTGAGTTATATCTATAAAGGTGATCTGTGAAGTTGTTCAGTCATCATTTCCCTTGAAGGATCAGTGAATGAAATGCTATTTCAGATGAACTCAGAGAACACAATTTACCATTATATCTGGCACTTTAGTTACTGAAAAAAGAAATACCTCTTCTTTTTTTACCATTTCTGACATTTTACTGAGCTACAAATACATTTGTTCAACTGCTCAGCATACTTCTCTAGAACTGATTCTGCCCACTTAACTGCTTTCACTTGAGCTAGGCTCAGAATTGTTTTGAATGTGCTTTTTACTAAGAAGTAACCTTAATTTTATTCTTCTTTGTCTGTGAGGAGGCTGATGTCGATTGATACTTGCCTAAAAAAATTTACACCTTTGAAACCCTCAAATTGCCTAGCACAAAGGAATTAATGGTAATAACATCAATGTCTGGAAGTATATAAAGCACTGGCATTAGAACAAGGAACAGTGATGATGAGGAAAAACTATTATAGAGAAGATTATATTACTTTTTTTATCCACAGCTTTTGGGATCTAATTTTAAACTTCACATATGAGTTGGAAATGGTGATATTTGGTAGTTTTGTCTCTCTTTCCCACTTTCAATATCTTGCTTAGAAGTGATTTGTGGAAGCTGACAAGATTCCTCCACCATTTGCAGAGGGTATGCTCAAGCAATTATCTTTACAGCTTTTATTTTCTGCATAATGCTATTCATTTCTGGCAGATACTACTTTAAATCTCAGTAATAAAGAAATCTTCTTTTAAAGACTATAACTTAATAATTCTTAATAAATAATAAATAATAATTAATAAAACTTAATAATTCAAGTCACTAAACTTAGAAAGAACATTATATCTTTAGCCAAGGGCCATATTCATGGTATGTGTTCATTGATTAACTGTTATAGCATAATAAATAAAAAGTGTTAATCTACCTTTAGTTTGTCAGCAAGATCTTTGATTTCATTTACAGCTCCGTTGTATTTGTTAGCTAATTCCCGCAATTCTTCCTGAGTCCGTTCATTCATTTCTTTCAAGTGAGTACATTCATCTTCCGTGTTGCTTAAACTTCTCTGCAAGCAGAAAGAAACACCACTTAAAACAGAAAAGTTATTTTATGAACTAACTTTTGTAATCAAAGCAAGTTATATAATAATTACCCTAATTTTCAAACAAATGCATAGGGCATCACTTAAAATATTCTTCTGCCAAGTATACCATCCAAAATTGATAGTAATAATTAATGTATATCTGTAATATCTTAATTTTTATAGAACATATGTGAATAAAATTACAACCTTTGTTTATTAAAGTAGAAGCTAGGAATAACTGGCTAAGTACTAATGATGAAAGTCATCACTGAATTACAACTTTAAATTTATTTTAAAAGCTACATCAGGAACAGAAACATTTAAAGATTAATATCCAAGATCGATGGCATTGCCTATCTGCTTTTCTTTTGTGGTTTCATTAGCTTCAAGAATAATTTCAAGCTTCATTAATTAGTTGTGCTAGTTTTAAATCACTACTGGCCAATCTTAGGTACTTCATTCTCAGATTTAAAGGCAGTGCTACAAGAAGCATTGCCTAATTTTACATCTTCGAGACACACATTGATTGAGAAAGTATACTTGTTACATTGGTATAATTTTAGACTCCCTTCTAAAACATTAAATACACTTAATACTATATTTACAATGAACTTGAACAGTGAATTTAGATAACAAGTAGTTATGGATAACAGAACAAATTATGTGTTTCAGTAAATGACTTCAAAATCATTAAGACATTAAGAAATCTTATTATACCATGTATTTACAGTTATTAAATATCTATGTGACAGAACAAAGAGAAGCAATGTCATACTACTAGTATAAGATCTCCCAGCATACAACCATAAACAGAGTTGATTATGAATAATAATTGGAGGCTGGGTAAGATTTTGCAGTCTATAATGAAGAAAAGAGACTAAAATCATCTAAGGAGTTTGCAGAAGTGAATGGCATTACATACAGAGAGAAGGAAGGGAAAAATGGCTAGCAAGTAAAAATTAAATTAGGTAGTCCTGAGTTGCTGAAAAAAGATGCAGGGTACAGACTGATTCAGCATCACTGAAGAGAGATTATAATAGAAATACTATAACTATGCAAGAAGAGCAAAGCAGCATGCAATCTGTTTACCCAGCAAAGATATCTACAGGGTGGAAAAGAACTGAAAGCAGAAAATACCAAAGTTGGACTAACCAGAATAACAGTTAAGCTTCAACTGAAAACTTTAGGATATTTAGTACCATAAATATGCTGTAGTTAGTACAGCAAGGCAAGCTGTAATACTATTGCAGACAAATAGATAATCTCAAAATAGTATAGTAGTATAGTATAGTATATAGGCCATAAAGCAATATACTATATTTGTTATTTGAAGAAGTGGGAGTGGAGAACTGAAACTCTTATCTTTTACACAGGACCTAATTATTGCTTGCATAATTATCTGACGGAAACAATCTTGCAGAGACTTTCTAGTTTTGATGTGCTCCCTCCCCCACCCCCCCTAAACCCCCAACTTATTCACTGGAAGGTCTTAACATGCTGTATTCTGATAGGATCAATCCTAAGAACTAACAGCAATCCCCTGCCTAGGAAAGATTAAATACATACAAATAAATGGAGGATTTGAATATATGTACCTAAATAGAAAAACAATTAAAATCAGAGACTATATAAGCCCAACATATGGACCCAATATTTTCTGGGAACACTAACACTAACACCAACAATTGAATGGAAAATCTTATGATAAAAAAATCTGCAGAGCATCCTAGAATTCTCAGCACAAACACAAATCAAACAAATTGTTATAAAAAGTAAACACACTAAAGATTTACTTGCATGATCTCAACACCGTATTTATATTTTTAAAATCAGGCAAAATGGAATTAGTAAATACCTCTACTTCTGAGAGTTTTCTGACCACTTCAATTTTTTCCTGAAGGACCCGCCTCAGGGATTCTTTGGCAGTTGTCTCATAATTATGCTTGTCTTCTTGTAATGCTATAAGTTCCTTTCGTAAACTATCTTCTGTTTGATTCTGAAATATAACATGGCAGAGATTTTAAGCCCATAATTCTTATATAACCCCATATATTTGTTTATATCTCAATGTTATAAAATATATTTGTTTATATTCTTAATGTTATAAAATATATGATTCTTTTTGGAACTTCATTTAAAAGCTTTGTCCAAGAAGTAAATCTTTAAATTTCCAGTATTTGCCACTTCGTGATTTCGGAGTTATCAATCACCCCAATATGTCAGTTCATTCAACTGACTTCAACAACAAATCATTTTTTTCTTATTAAAAAATCCTGTGAAATCAGAGTCTCAGGCTGCATAAGGATATACACATAAAACTGACTTCACTTTGATCATGCTTAAATGTCAGCAATTAATGTTAAGAATACACTATTTGTTCCTGCTCATTTCAAATACATAATTTTAAATCTCCTAGAGGTGATTACTCTAGGAGGTTTAAATGAGTAAATGAGTAAATGAGATGGGCAATGTATAAATTTGACAGACAATTAAATACTTCTTAAATTTGATTAAGGAAAATATCAACACAGATTTAACTGCTATTAATGCTAACATAGATTTCAATGAACTTAAATTTGAATACAGAGTAACATTAGTTGTAATTTTGAATTATAACTGAATTATAATTAACCCTAATTCATTTGCATTAATTAAATGCTAATTAAGTTTAAAATTAACCATAATTAAAGTGTATTTTCATTTTCCTTAATTTTAAAGTGAAAAGGTTATAATTAACTAGTAAAAAAGAATGAAAAAGATGTATATATTCCCAGTGTCTCAACAATGTTAAATCTGCACTAGTCCATAATGTTTTTCTAAAACTCAGAATCAAAACAAAAAAATTAACAATGTTACAGGATTCTATGTGATAATTGTATCTCTCTGTGCCCTTGTTTTCCATTCTATGAGAGTTGGAAGTTAATAATCTAATAAAAACCAAAACACCCACCGATTCCCGGGATATACGGCCTCATAGATAAATTAACAGTTCCAATCAGATATTGTTTCTATTACAATTATATGACTGATCTGATATATGGGGTGTTTTTAACTGATTTTCTCTTATTTGTTTATAGTAAAAAGTGCTTATTCCTTTGGGGATTTTTTTTTTGGGGGGGGGGAGAGTTCTGATGCCTAAGTCTAAATATTATTTCAAATATAAGTTGTAGAAAGGGAGAATTCCATTTGAATTAATGATTAAATCATCAGTGCATTATTTGGTGATCTTATTATGGCTTAAAATTTTAAAACTGCTATAATATAAACCCCTCCATTTTTCTTTACATGCAAATGTTAAAGTAGTATTTTAAACAATCAGAAAGTATTGAACTGTGTACGTCTGATCTCAACTTTCTATTTTATGTAGAAGAATTTCAATTTTTGTATTGTGGTGCTTACAAATTAGTGTAGTCTTTTGAATTTGCAATATTGCTGCAGAAATGTGACTTAAAGCATGGTTATTCTCCACCCAAGTCCTAAAACTAAAGATAACTCAATTTAAAAAGAACATTAGACTTGTTCATTTATGAGGTAAATGATCCAAAATACATATTTGTATATATGAAAAGTATCTGAATCTTTAGGATTACAGTTGATTTGAAGGGGAAATTTCCAAAAAGGGAAAAGAAGGGTGTGGGAAGTCTAGGGAGAGGGTAAGAGAGTTGGTTGAAGTCCTGGATGAGAAGTATTACCTCAATATGATTGGAAATGATTTGGCTATAGCTAGAATTGTGTAAGGGTGGAGTGGTTTAATCTCATTTTAATTATGTGTTGTATATGTGGAACCTTAACTTCTTTGGAGACCTTTAATAAAGCTGATTTCTATTCTATTATGTTCTATTACAACATAACTTAAAGTGGCTTACAATTAAAACAAGAGAGTAAAAACAAAATACTGAAACAGCAACAGGATCTTTAAGCTCAACTTCTTTTGAATACTTCTGTTAGTATGGCAAGATGGTGGTTGGAAATGATGATACTCACAAGTTTAGATGGATTAAAAATGATTAAAACTAACTTCTAAACAGTTAATTGTGGAAACATCTATTAAGGAATATGACACATTTTTATTGATAAACCTCCAGAGATTCTGTGTTACTCAATAACAATTGCTAAAGGGAAAACAGCATAATGTGGGAATATTTCATTCCTTGTATGTAAACTTTTCAGAAGCACTTACGTAGCCGCTGTGGGAAAAGGGAACAGATAGGTCTTTGGACTAAATTAGCAAGGGTCTTCTTGTATTTGCCACTAAACAAATAATAAATATTTTCATATTAGTAAGCTCCCAAATGCTAGATGTTTTAACTGATTATGGAACCTACTTTTGAACAAGCTTGTAGCTGGTTTCCCATAACCTCTAACCTTGATAGAAGTCTATCTTCATCTATCAAAGCCTGTTAAAAAAGAAATTCAAACAATCAATACTAGTAATATCATAGAAACAATATTAACAATAGAAGTTCACATAATATCCCCACAATGTTTAAATTAATAAGCAGCGCTTTGTGATTTTGATAAATAAGCAAGTGTGGTATTTAGTTAATGAAAAGAGGAAGGGAAATGGAGAGAATACCTGCCAGCTTGTATCTGATGCCTCTTGTGTGACAGCTAGCAACCGCTGTAAGGTGGCCAACTTCTGTTCTAACATTTGTTCCCTATGTAAGGCCTCCTGCATTGAACAACAACAAAACTCTTTAGTTTTAATGGCAGCAAATTATAACATAATTTAATATTTAAAATTCTACATGGATGCTGTTTTAACTTTGTTTTATATATTTATTATGTTTATTTTAAGGAAAATTTTAAAAGTAACAGTTTGAAATGGGAATGTTGCCTTTTAGAATGCACTGCTCATGTCTAAAATGCATGATTCTTTTCTGGTTGGTTTCAAATACTTTGCACATGAACAAGTTTTATAAGGTATGATAGTCCCCTTCTTTCTAGTAAGCAGAGAACATCATATATGATATCTATACAAGCATCCATTTTATATGATCAATCTTATATGACATGATATTCAGAAACACAGTAGAATGATTTGTTTGCGCAAAAATGCCGCAATGAAAATCTCAGCATGTATCTTTTTTTTTTCAGCCTAGCCATAATTATCTGCATAAGCATTGCTGGAAACAGTAGTAAGTATCAACTTGGTAACAGTTTTTCCTCTCTAGTATAATGATCAGAATAACTTTAATACAATGGATGCACTATTTTAATTTGCTTCATAGATTCTAGACACCTTATGCATGCTAAAGCTCAGATATAATCGTTATATCTATATATTTTGCACTTCTAGCTGTGCAAAACAGCAGCACAGCCCTGGAATCCACTGGAGCTTGGCAGTCAATAGATTAACCACTCAGGGAAAGATATGGCTGCTTTAAGGAGATTGAAGATTGCTGATATATGAGTGCTGATATATATGTAAAACTTACGTTTGGCCCATTTACAAATGTTTGTATTCCTTTTGTTGTAAACCTTTCATGTTGTGTTGTGTGTGTGTGTATTCATGTTAAGAATATATATATTTCTTAGCAGAAATTTCCTGATATATATATATATGTATGTATGTATGTATGTATGTATATGTGTGTGTGTGTGTGTGTGTGTGTGTATATATATATATATATATATATATGTATGTATGTATGTATGTATGTATGTATATATGTATGTATTTATAATGTATTTAGTATATATATATAGTCAGAGCTGCCACGCTTTAAGCCCAAAACCCAGCCTGAAGATGGTGAGTGAGACCTCGCCGAAACGTTGCCATATTGATACCTCGCCAAAACATTGCCAAGACAATCTCAATCTTACACGGGAAAAGACCCGAATACAACAAGACCAGCATATATATATATATATTTCAGCTATTTCTGCTACTAGGAAAAAAAGAAGTTCAGGTTTCAAACATCACCACTCTGAAAATAATACCCATTTCCTATGAAAGGATTACAACCACTAGATGGCATACTTCACTCTTCTTTTCAACAGGCCATGTAGACAATAATACTTTGAATTTATCCTTAAATTAGCACAAAATGAAACAAAACTTTATGGTTTTATGATTTCAACTACAATAAAAAGCTGCTAGACCAAGATATAACCACCACCTGAATGCCACCAAAAGAAAGCAGAAATGTAATGTCTTTTTACAGACAACTGGAGATTATTTTTAAAAAGTATTTTATTGAATTTATAAAGCCACACATTTCAAATACATGAGTCTAGGGGAATCACACAATTAAAATAGCAAAGTCAAAGAGAGCTACTTAACAATTACAACAGTATGTTAGAAACAATTTAACCATTTAAAAACTATGCATATAAAATACATGAAAGTGTAATCAAAATCTTACAGACAATATAGCTATTTTGAGACCCTGTTTCTATTGAGATCCCCAGGCCCAATAGGAAAACCAGGTTTTAAGGGATTTCTGGAAAATTAGTAGAGTCAGGTCCAATCTAAACTTGGGGGGATGATGTTCCATAGGGCACATGCCATGGTAGAAAATGCTCCCCTCCTGGGTCCCGTCAGATGAAATACTCCACTAGATGGGACCCACGTACAGTCTCTCTGCTGAGTCTAGTAGGATGGCTAGATGTATCCATCAAGAAGAAGAGAGGCAGTCCCTCAAATAACAGGCTCCATGCTATGTATAGCTTTGAAAATATAACCAGCAAGGGGGGGAGATTGGAATGTTAACATTTTATCACTATAGTTATTAATATGATAGCTACATGTTTAGATTAATATAATTAATTTGACAAACCATGATTAATGCTCTGCTATTATTTAGCTGTGCACCTGGGGTCTTAGATTAGCAGTCTTTCAAGTTTTACTGTGAGAATGTTAATTGTATATATTATCAGTACATGATTATCAGACTTCACCATAATTTCTCATAACTATCATATTAAAGCTCTTATTTAAATTTTATAATATAGTTTTATAAATCTGATGTTTATGAGTCTATGCAGAACTGTACATATTACCTGAAGATACTGAGAAAGCTGAAACAGTTCCTGAGAGTAAATGCTGGGAGTGTTAGCAGCAACCTATAAAAATGGAAAACAAAAACCTTTATTATTCATTTCATGTCAGATTTAATTTCTTTAGTGCCTTATATTAATATTTTCATATTAAATAAATTCTGGGCTACCAAATCTCAGCTGCCAAATTTCAGACAACCTCCAGATAGCAGCAACAAGGAACTTAAAACACATTTGCTTTTATGTGTATAAATACTACATTAATAAAATATTACATTAAATTTCCCTTATTTTGATTATGTAGCTTCCATTTTTTAATTTACAAATAACTTCTTTATATTATATCCAGTGGATATGTCACTGTTGATGGTCTGTCAAATTAAAGCAAAACATATAGCAGAAATTATTTGCAAAAAGTGCTTCAGAGCCCACTCAAGGTCAAGCATAGATCTCTGCTTTTTCTTAAAGTATGAGCCTGTAAAAATATATTGCTACTTTAAGCAATGTATTCTTTAAAGTAAAGATGACTCTTGAAGCAGAAGAACATTTTTTGGATGTGCTATTGATCACCAAACTAGACACATAATCTGGATAATGTCCTTATTGACCAGACAATGCTGCCCATAATTTTTTTGAAGGCAAACATAATCATGGTAAACTTCAATTACATGGACCTCTGCTAGTAGACTGATAACCTTAGCCAAGATGGAAAGGTCCCTAAAATTGTTTTATTTACAGAAGAGTGAAGAAGATACAGGGGGATCTGTTTTTCTAGTTCACTAATAAGCAATAAAGAAAGGTAACTCAAGAGGTAAAAGTAATGGCAAACCTTGGAGGAAAATGATGCTATTTTGGAAATCAATATATTATAAAAAGAGAAATTGAAAGAAATAGAGTTGTGTGTGAGCTGAGAGAATGCATAGGAAATGGATGATGGCTGTAATCACTATGGAGGTAAATTATATACTAGCAATTAGTCACATTCTATTAATTATCAACATTTTATATGTTGAGCTCTCAGACTTGAAACACAAAATTTTTATCTTACATCATGCATTTTATACTAGAAATTACATGACTCCACCACCCAAGAGTAACAGAAAATAAAAAGAAAACTTAGGTGACCACAAATAATGGAAAGGAGGGGGGGAGCTCTGGAACAGACTATTAAATTGATTCGCCAACATTTAGGGGGAAATGTATTTAGTAGGAACCAAAATGGAAATTTATTAAAACAAGTAATACCGATTCAATCTATTCTCCTTTAATTACAATAGTTTAGTTGGCAATGGGGATGTGGTAGATAAACTCTACTCAGAGTAAAAATACTCTGATCTTAACAAAGCATTTGACAAAATCTCCCGTGAGATTGTAGTAAGGAGGATGGGAAACATTAGAGTCCCTATGTGAAAAAGACATGCCATTTCAAAATTAAAAGGATAGATAGATAGATAGATAGATAGATAGATAGATAGATAGATAGATAGATAGATAGATAGATAGATAGATA